CCGGATGAAGTAAAAAAACGTGCATGAACGAGCTCTTACCGTTTGTTGATAATCCGTCACGAGCCCCGACACACCTGCAGCTCACTTCGGCGTCCCGCGTGCAAGGAAAGCCAAGGCACCCCGGAATGGCACGAGACAAGCCCCAGCCCGGATGGATGGATGATAATTGGGTGGAGTGGGGGGGGAGGAAGGGAGGTGAGGGTGAGGAGGACTCGGAGGGGCGTGCGTTCTCCCCCCTCTTTCGTTTGACACCCAGTCGCCAAAAACACTGGCGCTGTCTTCATCGCAGCGCCCTGTCACCATCATCATCATCATCATCACCATCCTCCTCATCCACGCGCTGACAAAGTAAATAAAATGTCAAATTAAAAAAATCAAAACAAAACAAAAAAACAATGAGCTCATCTCCGGTGTCTCTCGGGCTGCGGCTGGCCTTCTCCAAACCGGCATCCCGGCGTCACCCCCCCGCCCCCCCGATCCCGGTCCACCGATTCGGCGTAGACGGCAGCGCGAGAGCAGACGGAGCGAGGAGCCATAGCGGAGGAGGAAGAGCGAGGAGGAGGAGGAGGAGAGGAGGGAGGAGGTGGGGGGGAGAGAGGAGGGGGCGGGTTGTTGTCAACGTCTCCTCGTGCCGGTCTTCCACGCTCACTAGCAGTATTCTCATTAACTAGTCCGTTTAATTAGAGCCGGGCGTTCCTTCTTCCTCTCCGCCGTCGCCGGGGCTCCTTCGCGGGCGCCTCCCGAGCCCCGGGCAGAGCGCGCGGCGGAGATGCGGCTGCTCGGGCCGGAGGAGCGGAGTGCAGCAGCAATATAGCCACTTGGGAAATCATAAAAAGTTCATGTTCACGTTAAGCGCGTCCACATGACCAGCCCGTCGGCCAATCCCGGCGCGCGGCCACTCATAAACTTGTATCACAAAGTTGTAAATTTTCATAAAACAACAAGGAATTTATTGCATTTCTTCATGGAGCGCTGTTGGAGGGGAGCTGCTCCTTCTCTCGCTCTCATTCTCTCCGCCGCCATTTTCTTCTTCCTCTGCTCCTCTGGAACAGAAACCTTGAAGCTTCCAGGACTCAGAGGAGAAACGTTGAACTCACATGTCGCTCTCCTTTATTCTCCTGTCACCTCTGTGCCTTTTAAATGTCTGTTTTTGGTGTTCTTTGTTGTTTATTTTGCACATTTCTATCCATTAATTTGCTGACAGTGGACGTGCTGCTGTGAAAATCACAGACAGAATTTGAAATAGTTAGAATAATAATTAGCTCACAAGCTAACAGCTGCGTTCATTTCATCCAACAGGATGAATTTAAAAATCTGCTGCTGATGATCCTTAATAGAAAGCTCTCCATATTATTACTGCCAGAGCACCTTTTCTGAATTCTTCGTGCCTCCACTCTTCAGTCTTTGGTGGCTGCTGGAGACAGTTTCTGGTGTCAGTAAACCTCAGCAGCCTCGTGACATGAAAATGTCTCGTCTGGTCAAAACAGCTCCGACGTGGATTCTGGCTCTTTGGGCGGTTTGCAAAAACTCTGTTTGATGTATAGAAACAGGACAATCTCCTCTGTACCAGCCCCACAGTTAATGTAATTAGTGTGCTTTTTTATTTTAATAAATACTAATGAATATGTTTCAGGCTTCAGACTGAAGCAGCTGCACAACGCGCCGCTTCTCAGCGTTTGTTTCTACCGTCCTGCACGGCGGTGAAATGCTGCATAACGGCCAGTTTGAAGTGAGCAAAGTGAAACTCAGCCCAATGGCGATCTGCAGACACAAAAACAGCATCACCTGAGTGCTGGTGCGGGCCTGAAAAGCTGTGCGTAAAAGCGGTTTCGCAATGCGGCAAAGCGTCAGTGTTTAACGGCCTGCAGGCCTGGAGCCGCAGGACGCACAGAGACACTGCAAAGACAACACGCAGTGAATGCTTTCATTTTTTTTAATGCACAAACACTTTGTATTTACACAATTAGAAGCAGCCCGATGTTAAATGTGAGAACACGCTGGAATGTAGCTGAGCTCAAACGGCTTGTGATGGAGCACAGTTCGGTTTCATCTGCTCGTGTTAAAGACTTTTACGCATCGTTTTTATCTCTTAATGCAGTTTGTTCTCCCACACAGCCCGATTCAGTCGTCTCCTGAATTTTAAATAAGATGCAGCTCGTTTGCTGCAGAGGGTAGAAACAGTGAGTTAACGAGACCAGTTAAAGGTCCAGAATTTGTCCACGCTGATATTAACAACGCTACACTTTAAGGAGCTCTGGGACATTAAAACAAACGTATTGGGAGAGCTAAACGGGGTTCTGCACCCACACGAACCCACACAAGACCAATCAGAACAACAGTCTTCTGTTTTGCTGGTTATCTGCTTTTGTCTTGTTGTTGTGTTGTGAAGAATCAGATCTACAGGATGTGTGTCTGCGTTAAACAACCTATCCAAAGCGCTATTAGCAGGACAAAATAAAGCTAATTGGCAACTTCCCTGCGTGGATTAAAGCCTGGCTGCTCGTGGAAAATGAGTTTCCTACACAGACAGCGTGTAGATTTAGTCCGCATCCCATTTAATCCCAGAAAACTTGATTTTAAACCTTCACTGACCCACATGTGACCCTTTCAAAGCGCACAGCGTCTGGTGAGCTGGAGAAGCGGATCCGAGGCTTCCTCTATGCAAATATCCCAGGTTAAAAATTAACAGAAAATAAAGCAGCAGTAAAGCGCAGGAGGCACAAACAGGCCGCGCGCTCCTCCGATCTGTTGGTTTCTTTGTGTGTTTGTTGCTTTTATTGGGGTTTCCGGCCTTTTCATGGACGCAATAAAGACATCAGGACCTGCTATAACATCCCCCACCGCCCTCCGCGGCTTCATGTAGTCTCTCTTTTTTTTTTTGGCTTCCACAGAAAACCGAGGACTTCCAGAGACAATCCCGTGTCCAGGAAAACTCGTCTGGATCCGGAGACATTTTTGCGCAGCTGGAGCAGACCTGGATGTTTGTGGCTGCAGTGAAGCTCAGGTAGAAGGTGTTGTTTGGAGGTGAGTGGCAGCAGCTTGGCGTTTTGTTTGCAGTGAGCTTGGAGTTGGAGGTTCTCTGTCCGTCTGGAGGCTGAAGAACTTAAAAATGTTGCTCTGGTTTCAAAGCACGCAAACTTCAATTTCCTCTCAACACAATATAATTAAAACCTTAAACGTCCAGGGTGAGCTTTATTACAAATAAAATAAAATAAAATAAAATAAAATAAAACGGCAGAAAGAAAAAAAAACATGAAACGTAATTTCTGTATTGAATTTTGTGTTTAAAAATTTCGTTCAGATTAATCGTAAAAAAGCTCGTGTTTGGTTTTGGAAACAAATGTTTGTGCAGCATTTAATCCAAGATGATCACGAGATAATTATTATTTTGTTCATAATTCAGATGTTTTCTCTGTTTCGTGTGTCTAAAGGTGAGAAAATCAAACGTCCAATCTTTGCTCTTCATTTATGGCACCAGCTTGGGATCCAAAAATGACGCGAAATGTTTATTAAAGCTGTTTTTACGCACAGCTGTGGGATCACTGGTGGCACAGATCGGAGATGTTTCTTCTAAACTCTGCTATTTATTCATATTTATGATTTATTTGGTGTGATGTACATGTTGTTTTCTGTTTGTCTTTATTTTATTTTTCAGGGAAGATTTCTGCTAAATAAAGCTGAACCGGTGAAAGTTGAACTCTGAAGCTTCTCCGTCGCTGCAGCGGAGACACAGAAACCTGTGAACAAGGTGAGCTTGTTCTAGGACCGACTCTGGTTTATAATGTGTGAAAATCAAAGTGGAACCCTTAAAGGCTGGATGGGACGTAATAAAGCTTCGTGTGAGATTTGACTCTTTTTGAGAGTCGCTTCAGTGAACAGATGACATTTCATCAACTTTATTTATTTTTTTAGTTTTATTTTTTAAACCTGTGGACTGTGGCAGTAAATGCAGGTCAGACACGGTGGTTTACTCTTTACCTGCTCACATTCCAGTTGTTCCTGTTTAAACACAAATCTCCTTCATGTCAAACACACCAGCTTTGGTTTTAGCGCTTCGGACATTTTCCAAATATGGAAGACAAATATTGTCCCCAAACGAAGCTCATAGCTTCACAGTTACTTCTTTAGCTGTATGAGGAGATGCCTTTTGATTAAAGGGAATTAGCACATCCGCTGCAGGAGCTACCATCCAGGATTAACAAAGTGTGGACCAGATAGAGGCCTCATTCACTGCCTCACCAGTCAGCTCAGGCTGGATAATGGAACCTATCTGCACACTGAGCATCAGTGGCTGCAAAAAAAGTGCTGTGGCTTTAATGATGACTTCTTATTGCCTTAAACTGCATTTATTGCTCTTAGCCACGTTGTAACAGCACTTGTAGAAGCATTATCTTCCTTCTGATGCACCTTCAAGCACAAAAACATGAAAATCTGAACAGCTTCCGTTTGGGAATTTTTCCACATAAACAATCTTCCAGAAATGACAACAAGCTCATTTCTTTTTTTAATATTCGTTTTATTTACATACAAGAAAATAAAAGTGCATTTTAGTGTGAAAATGAGGATCAGCGTGAAACCACTGGAGCAAAGCACAGAAACAAGACAAGACAACAACATGCATCCCATAATTCCTGCTGCCGCTTAGTTTCAATCAGATAATAATAAAAATGTTATTTTAAACTAAATACCAGCATTAAAAATCCATTGACTGCCTTAATAGAAGTCTTTGTACATAATTGCTCCTCCATTCATATTCAGCCTGATCCCACCTGAAGCACGAGTCTCTGGGTTCAGCTCTCTGTGTGTCTGCGGCCCTCTGATCGGAATATAATCAAAGAGACGAGATCGAACTCATTCTCACTTAAAACTGGAGCGAACTGGTGCCAGTCGTGTTGAAGTCACGTCCACAGGGATGTTTTCAATAACTGTGTGACTGAAATAACAGTGAGGCAGAAATAAAAAAGGCTTCAGCAAAAAATCACAGCTTTTAGAAGCACCGATAAGACCACAGAGATCTTTATTCATATCAGACAGAAAATTAAATTCATAGAAAACACGGTTACATGTTGGGACTGCTTTAAGAAAAAATGGTTAAAACAAAAACAAACAAAACTCTGAAGTAGCTCCGCTCAGAGTTCGTCCTGCTCCCCGGTGGCTGTGGATGGTCAGCAGACACTCAGACAAAAATCTGGTTTATTCCAAATAACTGCACAGATCAGCTGAACACCAGCAGAGAGATTTCTGTCCAGAAGAACTCACCTCGTCCCTTTTTGCTGCTGAGGTGCTTTTATACAGAAAAGACTGGACAGGAAGAACGTTTACTGCGCATCACATTCCTGGTTTCTGGTTCCTCCTCTGCTGTGGTTCTGTCACTCTGAGCAGGAAACAGAGGCAGGAACTGTGATGCTTGTGTTTCATATGTGATGTGATGTCAGAGGATCAGAAAAGTCAGCGGCTGTAGCTTCAGCTGCTCCTTCTGGAGTTGGTTCTCTGATGACTTTAGAGCTAAAGTCACTTTTTATTTCTGCTGTGAAATAAGAGCAGCTGCTGATGTCAAAGCGTCCAGTCGAGTCTCTGCTGTCACTCCTCCTCCTCAGCCTCCTCCTCCTCTTCCTCTCCAGGTGCCGCCGTTGGGGAGCCGCCCTTGTTCTCCTTCTTCCACTTCATCCTCCGGTTCTGGAACCAGATCTTGATCTGCCGCTCGGTGAGGCCCAGCGCATGCGCCACCTCTATCCTCCGTCTCCTCGTGAGGTACCGGTTGAAGTGGAACTCCTTCTCCAGCTCGAGCGTCTGGTGGCGCGTGTAGGTCTGCCGGCCTCTCCTCCTGTCCGGACCTGCGCGTAAGAGGCACATTCCCAGGTAGAGACACAGCAGCAGACAGCTGGTAGCCTCTGTTCTGTGGCCTGGGTTTAGACTTCAGCTCCTTTAGGCTTTATTTTAACCACCTTTGTTTTCCAGGCAGGTGAGCTCTGAGCCACCTGCCGTCACATCTCAGTCTGGACTCATCCTGCCAGCGCCTGTCAATGTAGCGTTTAAAAAATAAGGCCCCCCAAAAAGCTTAAAGTTGGTGGAATACTGAAGTCCATTTCCAGGCCATAGAATAAGAACACCAGGTTATTTGAAATATTCTAAAAGTTCACCAAGAAATACACAAATAAAAAGATAAATGCATCAACAATACTGCAGGTAAGTCAAAATTATGAGAATAACATGAAGTTATTACAGATTTATCATCAGTGTTATCACAGAAAATATGAATTTATGGTCTTATTTTAATTCAGTAAGTGCTGTTCTCATGTATATTTTCATTAAATTAAATTACTGCCTGTATTGTTGCTCAGTGTTTGTAGGATTTGCACAGTATATTGGTTATAGGTGGGGTTTTGTTTTGTTTTTTTAAATAAAAAAGATGACAAAATGTTTGAAGTGACAATTAAAAACTAAAAATACGGTAAGTAAAAATGACAAAAGAATTATTTAACAAATAATAAAATAATAGGAAAACATTTTATGTTATCTATGAATGAAAAACATTTTATTTCAGAATGTGATCTTGTCGCCTGAACTCTCCTCATTTTGCTCATTTGTTGAGTTCTTTGGTCGCCACACATCCTTCATTTGTGATGAACTTAAACACAACCTACTGACCTGTTCTTCATGCTTTCCAGACTTTATTATATCGTATAAATAAAACATGAACAAACATCATTTTCTACACTCTTTCATTCTTTACATTAAAACCATCAATAATAGAAACCTAATGTCAGGATGAACACACAGCTTCATGAGCTGCTTTGTCTCGTGTCACCGTAACGTTTGACATGACGCTGATCTCTGGAATGAGGAGGTGAGTAAACCTCTTTAACCTCTTGTCTAAACCTGTGTGTCCTGGTGGCCTTCAGTCCTGGTGGCCACTCCTGGACCTGACTGTCCTTCAGCTCCACTTCCTGACTTGTGGCTCATTTCCTTGATGATGTGGCTTCAGCTGCTGTCTGTCTGAGCTGCTCTTCAATATTTACCTCACACCCTGTTTGTCATTAAAGCAGATCTATTACAGGACTAATGGGGGAACTTAGAGCAGAAAAAAGTGCAAAATCAGCCACTGATGAGCCGTTGAACTGCTTCGACCAGTTCCCTCAGATGAATACAGTTACTGGAGACACACTGGGAGGACTGATGCTGAGGGCCGAGCTGCTGGAACAGGCATGCATTGCTAATTTAATTTAAGAGAAAAGGGAAAGAAGAAAATCCTTCCACTGCCATTCATGTGAGATATGCAGGAGTCAGTGCTGAGTAAGACCGCAGAGGCTGACCTTCTGTCTGCAGAGGTCACGCAGCGCCTGAAGGTTAAAGAGAAACTGGGTCACATTTTCACAGCTCAGAGGTCGTCGGTGGGCCACACAAACGTCTAAACTCATTTCCTCTGCACAGTCTGAGTGAAAAGAGGGCTCCTTCTGCTGCATGGACAGCTCTGGGCGATAACAGTGGGGAGATCACTGCTGATCTGCTGCCGGACTCTGCAGCCTCCTCAGGACATCTCTGCATCTTTTATTTAAGTTTTTATTTTAGTTCAACTGGCCCCTGAGGTTCTGCTGCTGCATTGTAGGGCTGTTGAATGTCTAAATAAGCCCCGGCTCACGCTGCCGGTCATCTGAGCGGCAATAAAACGGAGTGACCGGCCTGTAAAAAATCAGCCTGGGCTTTGTGACTGTTTGTGGCGACTTTAACGGCATTAGCTGGTGTTTAGTGAAGGCTCATAAAAGTGGAAGATTTTCCATTGGAATCCTCAAAGGGTCAAAGTGTGAGCAGAGGAGAACAACAGCACATGAACAGAACAACTCCTCATATATATATGTGTATGTATATGTGTGTGTGTGTGTGGATGTATAGATATAAAGCCCAGGTGTGCATTTATCAGACGACGAGGAGTTTAAATGCTTCAGCTGCATTAAACAAAGTCCAACCTTAGAAAAGTTCATTTAGACACAGAAATCTGAAGTTCTGGTCCTGACTCAGGATTCAGTTGTTCTGCCCATAAGGTCCTAAATGAGGTCATGAATCCTCTGTGTGATCTATGACCAGCAGTGACTGTCTGTCTGTCTGTCTGTCTGTCTGTCTGTCTGTCTGTCTGTCTGTCTGTCTGTCTGAGCTCAGTGTGTCACCATCACTCCTCCATCACAAAGTTGTTTTCAGTGATTTCAAGCAACGTTGATAAAACTGTTGTCATCATTTCCTGATAGAGGCTTTGCCAGGTTTACTGCACACACACACACACACACACACACACACACACACACACACACACAGAGAGAGAGTTTTATATTTCCTATCTGCACTTGTGTTTATTTATTTTTATTTAATTGCAAAAATTAAATGTAAAATTAAATCAAACGCGGTTTTTATTCATATAATCAGTAGCTTTCTTTGCCAGTTCTGCTCCAGCTTCTATTTATTGACATGATATTAATCTTTAATTCTGTTTATCCCGTTTTTATTTAAGTAATTGAATATCTAACAACAAAAGCAACACTAAGCTTCTTTCCCTCCGTTTCCCTGCAACAACTAATGATTCAAATAAAGCAAAAAATAAAACACCAATTGCGAAATACACATTTCCCTGTGCTTTATATTTTATATATTTGGTCAGAAATGTCTGACTCATCCCCCAAACTCAGCCTTTATTTCACGTTATTTAAATCAGTTAATTCCTTCACATGTCTCACCCTGACTGGACTTTCACACACATTTCACTGCCTTCTCTGCTTCCTAAAAGCTCCTCCAGAATATTTTCCCTCCCCACGCATCATGTTTCCGTCCCTGCGTAACTGCTGCAGCCTCCATCCGTCCGTCCGTGTGTGTGTGTGTGTGTGTGTGTGTGTGTGTGTCGGCCTGCCGCGGCTTTATTGGAAGCAGCGGTCAGTCCGTGTGAGTGACTGCAGCGTGGAAGTGTGTGTGATGAAGTACGTGTGCGCATGTTTATCTCTGCGCCGTTTCCTTTTCGTTGCATGTGGAGGTGAGACTCGGTGTGAGCGCTGAGAGGCAGAAGAACTGCTGCTCTGGTTGTTGGTTTTTTTTCCTGCTCTCTGTCTGTCAGTGATTTGTTCGTGCGCTCGAGCTGAAGTTGGGAATTCTCTGACCATCTACAACAACAAGGGGCCGCATTGTCCTCTCAGTCCTCCTCTGTCTCCCTCTTTCACACGCAAGTGGGACGAAAATACACGTATAAACCCAGCAGTGTGTGCGCGCGCGTCCCTGTCGGAGCCCGGGCGCCTCCTTTAATAAGCGCTCATGTGTTTGTCTTATTCAACGGTGGAACATCCGGGCCTTCTCCCTCCAATCATCTCCCGACGCCTTGGACTGGAATCGGATCTAAATTAAAATCTATAAATTCATTATACAGGCTGGCTGCTTCGACCCCACCACGCCCCCTTCCTCCGCACACACACACGCACAGGCGAGAGAGCAGAGAAAAGATTAGAAGTGCCAAGAGAAAGAAATATGTTTTACTCTCCTCTCTGGTGTGTGTGTTTGCGTGTGTGTGTGTTTTATTCACATATTTTCTATTTTCCTGTAATGCAAATCTGATTTTATTTCCCTTTTTTTAATAGTGTGTGATGTTAGGAATTATTCTGACGACGGAAAACAAGACAGTTATCCGGAGACCACATCATGATTCTGTTTTCTTTGCTCGTAAAAAGTGATACTTCATTTCATTGTTGTTTATTACATTTTTATGATCATATATAATACCAGGACGCGGCCCTCACTGCTCTGGTTTTCCAAAAGCAGGCTCCGAACAGTCTCCTCATAAGAAGCAAATGAAACACTATTAATTTTATGATTCGGTTTTCATCTTTTCAAATAATCTATCACGCAGCTCTCCAAATGAAAAGCACCCACAGATGTTGCTGTGGAACCTTTTTTTTTTTTTTTTTTTTAAATAACACACACATAGAGGGCAGGGGAACTGGAGGATGGGACGGTGGCGGAAATTAAAGAACAAGAATTTAGCGACGATGAAATGCAGAAAAGCTCCAGCTAATGACGAGAGACCTGAATTCTGATATGTTTTTTTTTTCAAAGCAAACTTGACTGTGCCCTACAGTCTCTGAGTGTTCTACTGAAAAGAAGAAAAAAGTAGAGTATATTTCATGTTTAAGTTGCCTGTTACCTTTAAATATTGAGCAGATGGATCGATTTTCGTGCAGTGAGCCAGCTTTACGCACACATATCCATATTAAACCGGCCTCTAAAAATACATGGGCGCGTCTGGCCTCCACTCAGATCCGCACTAATGGAGGCGCAGAAGCTTCAACAAGCTCTTATGTCTCCTGTGCAGTTCCATGTTTCTGTTTTTGAGAGTAAAAAATACCAAACATCTCCTTCACTTTTACGCACGCTTTACGCACCGACTCTCTCGCCATATTCCCCAGTTTTGACGTGCTACCATTCAGTATTTAGACTTAAACATAAAAATGCTCTTTGTGCGGTGTGTGTTTGTTGTTGTCCGAGGCCTTGCTTCCATTCAGCACTCGGGCCGCTGCCGGCTCACAAAGCCGCTTTTACAATCGGGGGAAAGGGCAGGCATTCAGAGATCAAACCCATCTGCTAATTTATAATGTTTATAGTATTAGTGGATTGTGGTGACCGTACAATAGCACAATGGGCATTCAGCGGGCCTACACGCACTGACAGTGGAACACAAGGCTATCAGGACGCTGAGCTGAGCTGAGCTGAGCCAAACACTGAGTATGAGCATAACCGTGAACGCCCGAAGAGGAAGATTTTCTTCATTTTCAAACAGGTCAGAATAAAGCTGCAGCCACCCCTGCGCTCCCCTGTCCCCTTCTTAAACACAATACCAGCTAATGAATATTCACAAAGTCTTAAATTATGGTTTTATGGAGGTCGCAGAGCCATAAAAGATCTGCAAAGAGAGAGAAAGCGAGAGAGAGAGAGAGAGAGAGAGGCTGTAAAAAAGTGACAGAGAGAAAGAGGCAGACAGGCATAGTTCAGCTACCGGCAGTGGCCGCTGCGCAACCGGGCCAACAGTTTAAAGAGCGTTTAACGTGATTATTGGCTCCAACAAACACACACAAACACACACACACACACACACCCCTAACAATCAGCTCCACCCCCCCCCCCCTCTCCCCAACTCACCTGTGACTGCTCCCAAATCATCCCATCACTTCTCATAACTTTTCCGAACCCACCTCCCACCCCGCTCTCCTCCCTTCTCACCTGAGCTTCTCATCCAGGGGTAAATCCGCAGCCTCTCATCGTTCAGCTGCTGTTGCTCCGGGCTATTCTGCCTCCTGCAGGCCGCCTCAGGAAGACTCGCAGCCAGTGAGCAGAACTGAGGCCGAGCGTGGAATCTCTCGGCGGGGTAGCCCTGCAGAGAAGAGCACAGCGGCCCAGCTCCGGACGAGCCATAAGCGCCTCTTGTGCGCACTTCTGTGGGGTTGAGAGGATGCTGAGTACCCCCGGTGCTCCCGTTTAGTCCCGAAAGAGATAAACTGAACGATGAAGGGAAAGAGGAGGAAGGGAAGGAGGAGGAGGAAGAAGGAGAAGTGGAAGAAGAGGGAGGGAACGGGAGCCTACCTCTGCCTCTCTCACTGGAGACATGGTGGTGTTGATATCCGCTGGACACGAGGGCGCACGAAGAAGACGCGGCAGGAGAAGCAGAGGAAGTCGGGGAGGGAGAAGTTGGAGAGTCTGTGAAGAGCAGAGCGGGGCAGCTCGCGGCAGCTTGTTGGTATTTAGAAAACAGCGCGTTGGCGAAGTACAGCGAACTCATAATTTGGCGCTGATGATTTGTAGGCCCGGGGCGGTTTAATGTCGGCTTTTTACGAGGGACCGTGAATTATTGGCGGGGTGTTACTGTCTAGATTTACACAAAAAATCACCCCACCCCACACTTTTCCTCCCCTACCTCCCATTGCTTCTCCGACCACGTGACGGCGCGTCCATGTGATGTCAGGATGCCCAATGGCCGACGGGGTTTCCCTCTGGATGTAATATTATAATGGAAGAAATTAGCTGCAACTCACATGGACGAACCGCCGCAACTCGCTCTCGCACGCACAGCTTACAATAGCATCCATATAACACAATCAATAGGCAGCGGCTCGGAACGTGTCCACTAATCACCGCGCGTATGTAGAGCTGGAAAACAAAACGGCTGAGGCTGACAAACACCCAGCTCAAATTTAAATCTTTTACTGCCCTGCGTGCCGGCTAGGAAGCGGGTGAAGTCGTGCGCAAAGAGCGGAAAGCACCATTAGCTGTGATATTGATTGGGCTGGGAACGGAGCGGTGCTAGGCACATGCGTAAAGTTGCCGAGAAGACTGAAAAAGGAGATGGATTTCCCCCGTTTCGGGTGTCTTACCCCAAAGCTTACTCTGCGGAGACCACACATGCAGAAGAGAGAGTCCCACAGCAGAGCAATCAGAGGCTGTTGTGTTCCCGGTGTACAGTGGACCGCTGCTGACTGGTCACAGCAGGCGGAGACGACGTGAGTCATGCAGTGACATTACATCTTCATCACATAGATGAAGATGTAATGTCAGCAACGTGTTATGGAGGCAGTCAGACCGCGTCACTTTGAAAATCATTCTGCAATAACGCCCACGATGAAATATTACATCTGCTACAGCTTCAAGAGGCCGCACTCCACTTTAATTCAGCTAATAATCAAAACACTGAGAATTACAGGTTAATATTTCTTACCACTCTGTCGCGCCTCTTGAAATATTAGAGCTATAAACTAGGCAAACAAACTAGAACCCGGAGCGGCTGTTAGGAGCAGGAGAGGATGTATGTTTCAAAGAACAAACACATTTCTGAATCCATTACAGAGAGAAAAGCAGAACCACGCTCTAAGACATTCAACATAAACCACCTCCGCCTGTGAGTACAGATCTGATTAGTTCTGCTCCCTGGCGCTGGATCCTTCCTCGCAGGCAGAGGAAACTCACCTGGCGTGCAGGTGCTCGGTGCTTAGATCTGTACCCGTGACGTTGACCTTTCCCCGCCACGCAGCACTGAGTTCATCAGGATAAAATCTCTGTGCTGAGTGTAATGTTTAACAGGCCGAAGAGGAGTCATGCGTGCGTAAAAGTCCTGTGCATGTTGTTTTTTCTCCTCTAACTGGAAGGATGTGGGACAATTAGAGGATTAGAAAGAGAAGGTCTGTTTGTTTGGTCCACAAACACTGAAAGAACCTTCCTCGTATCAACGCGTTTTGTATAAACTCCACTTTGCAGCTTGGGAGCTGCAACCAGCAGGTCGAGCGTTACGCGTAAAAACCTCTGATCCTCGTGTTTCCTTTAATTCGTTCACCCTTTAGATGAGTCAAATGTCATTTCTCTGCTTGTTCCAGCCTCCACACAGTTGGAAAAGATGGAAGAATCGACTGTTGTGTGTGTGACACCACGTGGCCAGTCATCTCTGATCAGGCAATCCCAGACGTGAGGCTAAACATGGCTATAGCTGATTTCACACCAGCATCTCCTACAACAGATATGTGACAAACACATGTGTCACTATGCGTCAGATTAGGCCACGGAAAAAGCCTCAACCACCAACTGTCCTGGTTCCTCCGAGCCCCACAGCTACACGTTTATTCAGTTGGCTTTTGGCAATACATTTCTTTAAGAAGTCACACCGATGAAGGACAACATAAGAGAAGACTGGGTTTTACATTATGAGTCTTGTATTAACACAAACAGCCCAGTGCTGTGCTGCAGTGTGCTCACATGGAGAACTTCACTACATTTAGTTAAATTGCACTTCCTAACTCTGAACCAACTTTTGGAACCGTGTAGCTCTGGATGGTTTCTGGGAATGTAGCAAAGCTTCCAGTTGGTGTCCACAGGGTTGACTTGGGCCCAACAGCAGAGTTCATCCACTGGCTCCGGTTGTCCTGTCACGTACAGTTACAATAGTTTGGGTCTCATTCTGGCTTCTTCTGCAGCTTTCTGAATGCTAGACACTAAACGTGAATCTGAACTAAATCCCAGACTTTGACATCTATATGAGATATAAAACAACATACAGAGTGTTGTCAGTGAAGCGACACAAACCTGAATGTGTCAGCGGGTTAAACCATCAGGAGGACAATCCACCAGCCTTTAGTTTATCTGTTACATCAAGTCCTGCTTATAGATGAGACGTAAAACCATTTCTGGAGAAGTTTCCCAAAGTCTGACAATTAACCTTTATTGATGCCATCAGCGTTACTTTCACTTTGGCTCCACCTTATTTTTTAATTTAATTTTCTAGCAGAAAGTTGGCTTTTGCTCCAGAAAGATTCGGCTGCCTATTGGTTTTGGACCTCGTCCCGTTCTAAGAAGTGGAGATATTTCATACTTTACTGGCTCCATGTTGCCTTTTGTGTTTGTTAAACTGTCTCTTCTGGAAAAGCGGCACTAAATATTTAGAGTTCCCTTTTAACAAATGACCTGGACTGGACAGCCAGAGATGTGTTGCTCTGGCTGCCTTAGCAAATAGACATAAGGTGCATCAGCATTTAAAAAAAAAACCGTCCTCAGATCGGGTTATTGTGCACCTGATCAGGTAAATATTTGTCGGTTTGGTAACACTGTATGGAGTCCATGTGGATGTCCAGGCTGCGTGTGTTTGATCTGCCCATATGGAAACAATCCGACCTCAAGTCGTCATTGTGATGATGATGGAAGGCAGCGTAATGGTGAATATAGAGGTCTGTAATAATGTAAGTGGAGGTGGAGGAGCAGGCCATAAATAAAGCCATGTTTAGATAGATGTGGATTGTGTGTGAGTGTGAGGGAGTGGGGTGAGGATGTGAGGAAGGGGGGAGGAGGGGAGGGGGGCATCTGTTGTTTTAAGAGGAGATTTCCGAGTCGAGGCTTAAATGTTTGGCCTCGTGAACTGAACGGTTTTATCAGTCTGGGTGCTGACAGAGCGCGCAGGGATGGAGGGAAAGTGTGGATGAAGAGAAAGAAGCGTCAGGCTCTTATTCCCGCCTGATGGATCATTCTTACAGCTTCTAAATGAACTGTCACCACTTCCAGTTACACGCAGAAAAGACGCCATTGGTTTGTTTTTATTACGTTTTTTCCTCTTTTTTATTTTTATGAATGTTCTCTCTCTTCTTTTTTTTTGTTTTAAATCTGCACTGTGCGCATGCTCTTTACCCAAAAAAGAGAAAAAGGAAGACAACATAAAACAAACACCATCGATCAAAAAACGAACTAAAACGACAATTAGAGTGTGTAAAAAAGAGACCCGACCTACTAAAACGGCATAAATAGGCAGTTTCATGTTGTTGGAAATTTCATTAATTGCTACGTCATCATCATCATCATCATCATCATCATCATCATCATCATCAATCATTGCCATAACAACAACAACATAGAAGTGAGAAGTACAGTAAAAAGTGCACCATCATCATCGTCATTTAACTTAAAAACTATACAGCTGCCAAAGATAAAATTGTTAATGATAAACTTCTAACAATATAGAAATGTTTCCACGATAATTGTTCCACAAAGAAAGGAAGCTATCATTTTCTGTTTCTTTTTTTTTCTTTTTTTCTTTGTTTGTTTTGAACACTAGTGTAGACTATGTTTGTTGGATTGATTCACCCCCTCCCTCGTCAATTGGTGATTTTTTTTTTTTCCAGAGTTTCTTTCTCTCTCTTTTTTTTCTCCTTCCTGCGGTCTCTCCAGTCAGCAGACAGAGGCGCGAGGCCCCTCCAGTCCGTCCAGCTCGCCGCTTTTCTTTGTTTTTTTTTTGTTTTTTTTCTTTTTTGCGCATTCTGGAGACCCAGGTTCCCCTCCATGGACTGAAACAGTGGAGACAGCGGGGCAGTCCAATGGCCTCAGTTAAGACAAAAACAGTCCCCCACCCAGCCCACCCTCCCTCACCCCCCTCACCCACCCTCACCCCATCCTGTCCAGCATTTACACTCACCCACATCTCTCCCCCTCTCCTCCATCCCCCCCTCTCTCCCCCTTCACTCGCTCCTTTTTCATTTCCCTACATTTGCTTGTGGGTTTTCTCGCAGCAATCCTCGGTCACGGAGGCCTGTGACCCCGCCGTGCCCGCCACCGCCACCGTGCCTCCTCCTCCTCCTCCTCCTCCTCCTCCACCGCCTCCTTCTCCACCGCTTCCTCCTCCTCCTGCTCCTCCCGCGCCTCCACTGCCGCCACCTGAGCTGCCGCCGTCCCGCAGCTCCTTCTCCCTCCGCTCCCTCTCCACCGCCTCCTGCTCGCTCTTGCTGCTGGGGAACTTGTCCTTGTTGTTCTCCTTCTTCCACTTCATGCGGCGGTTCTGGAACCAGATCTTCACCTGCCGCTCCGTCAGCGCCAGCGCGTGCGACACCTCGATGCGGCGTTTTCGGGTGAGGTACGGGTTGAACAGGAACTCCTTCTCCAGCTCCAGGGTCTGGTAGCGGCTGTAGGTCTGTCGGCCCCGCCTCCTGCCCGCAGCTACTGGGGAGGAGGTGGGAGGGTGAGGACAGGGGGAGACACGGGGGAGAGAAAGAGGCATTATTAGAAACAAAACTACGTCCTTGTAGCGTCACAGCCCTCACACACGAAGCCTTCACAGAGAAACCAAACAGCCCAGATGAGCAGAATCAGGCACATTATTATTATCTAACTTCATTTGTAGATTCTGTTTCCTTCAGGTTGTTGATTGATCAGGGATGAAATGTGGAAAAGACAAATAACTTATTAATCCAACCAAGAATCCAAAACCCCAAAATAATCAATTTACAATGAAATCAAACAGATTAAAGGCCAAAAGTCTTCCCATGAGAAGCTGGAACCAGAGACTGTCTGACAGGTTTTAAATAAATGATCCACCAAAGTCTGATCAGCTCCTCAGTCCAGCACACAGGCAGCACTGAGACGTCTCAAACTTTTCAGCTGCATTTAGAACTTGTGTTAGTCTGGTTCGGAGTGACTGGGCTCACAGGCTGCCAGTAGATCCCTCTGCCCCGTGTTTGACTATGAAGTGACCCCAAATACACGCACATCTGCAGAGTTTAGTGTCGTCCTGGATTAAAGGTAGAATACAGCATGTGAAGAAGAAGTTTTAATTTACCACACACACACACACACACACACACACACACACACACACACATTAAACACTAATCCAAGAACAGACACAGCAGCTCCGTGAGTCCATCAGAAGCTCCGCCGCGCCCTCCCCATATAACTGCACTCATTATGAAGTCTCTTATATAACGCACACAAAACCTACTGAGCACTTCCAGAAGTGCACATAAATATTTGATGCTATAAATACATCGTAAACATTTAAAAGGAGGGGAAAAAAAACAAAACCTGATCCCGCACAGCAGAGACCGGAGCTGGAGGATGAAGGAGTCGCTTCTTCTCATGACGAGCAAAAGACTTTTAATTAGAAATACAATGAAAGCGCAGATAAGGAGGAAGGATTTCTGATCAGTTCCTCTGCTGGTAGGAAGCAACGCAGGCACATGCTGAACAAACACACACTTCCATCATGTCACCTGCGCTATATGAGCCACCAGAACACACACATGCGATGCCCTTGCAAGATAATATTTCCTATTATTCCATCAAACTGGCTGATATTATAATTGTAAAACACCTGAACTCATCCAGGCCTGTGCTGAATGTGCGTAATGACATCTTTACGCTCCTAATAAACTCCAAGTTGTGTTTTTTTTTTCCTTTTCTTTTCTAGGAAGTGGGCGAATAAAAGCGACACATTTCAGCACGAAGCTCTGGCAGCAGACTCTCCGCGGTTTATACAAAGAGGACATTTGTGTAAGTGATTATATTTCCATAAAAATGTTTGTCATCCTCCGATTATTGTGCCATAAAAACGGAGCGCTGCGCCATGGACAGAATATGCCAGAGACCATAAAAGCCTTGAGTTGAAAAATGCAGCTTCTTAGTCACTGATAAGAAGGAAAATATAGTTTAAATCCAGCCATAAACAACAATGTAAGGAAGCATCGTATTTACAAGTGGAGCAGTTATAATATTCCATTTTTACTAGAAGCGTCTTATCGCCACGAGTTTCCTCGGAGCTATTTGTGCGTGTAGATACACACACACACACACACACACACACACACACACACAGAGTCTGTCTCCAGGTCAGTAAAGTTTCAGGATTAAATTAAAGCAGAGGCCAATGACTGTGATGGAAGCGCATTTAGCGTTATAATCACATAGACGTCCAGTCCGATCTGCCCTGATGTCGTTACGGCCTGTTTCTGAGCCTGCAGGTAAAGGGTGAAAACATCTTCTGTATCCATTATACAGTGGAACCACAAGTCCTGGTTTTTATTTAAAAAAAAAAAAAAAAGAAAGAAAGACACCAGTGACTCTCGGTCTCCTCAGATTTCCACAGTGTCAATCAGAGCACAGAAAGCTGCTTTTTTATTATTGTTGTTTTCGAAGCAGTGCGCAGGAGAAGACAAGAGAGGCTTTATGGAAACGCGTGAACTTGTAAGTGATGTAAATGTCTTGTATGTGTTATCTGTCACCGCGCTGGCGCCGTGATTTCGTGCTATAGGGACTAAAGGGAAGTGGGCGCCACATTCACTGCTGTCACCAGCCATGAATTAAGGGAAATGGAAAACACTTTCCTGGATAAAAAAAAAAGGCACAGACGCTTTGATCTGAATGCTTTCTGACTGTGCAGCGCGCACGGGGAATTTAACCCCCAACCTGGCTGTGGCACGCTTCCTATCCGCAGCTATTTGGGACGGATACATATTTATTATTATTATTATTTATTGGCTGTTTTTCTGGTTTATGGAGTGAGAAAATGATACAAGCTTCGGGATTGTGAACGTTTTAAGACCTATTACGGATGAAACCTTTGCAAAAGCCAATTAAATAAGCACTAAACAAATGCAGAGCAGTTGGCAGTTGACATTTGGAGGAAGGAGGTTTCCACTAGTGGCCAGGGAGAGTCCAGGCGAAAGGAACCGATGCCATTACGGACACACACTCAGTCACCGGCCTAATCACATTTCTATTCGCTTTTTTTTTCTTCGTGTTTAAGGTCGTACAGAGAAAATGATTTATCAAGACTTCCCAACTACAGGGTGAAGTCGTAAAACGGGCTCATATTCGCGAGTTTAGAGTCAAACTCGGATATTAAACCTCCTGCTTGGGGGCTCGGGAGTGTTTTCCAGACATATTCAGTGAGCAGCAGCCCCCCTTTGGCTCAGGGACTCCAACATAAAAGGAGCGGAGGTGTGGAGGAGGAGAGGTCCCTCTTTATAATACAAATTATGAAATGTTCCCCCTCGTTAAAGGGAAATTTCCGAGCTGAACGTGGAGGACAGCCGCCTCTATCCTCCCGCTTCCCCACCGACACACACCTCCGCCTTCCCCTCTGCTTTTATAACTAATAAATCCTCACACCGAGAAGCGATAATATCCCATCAAAGCCGCGCACGGGCTGTAACGGCGTGCGCACACGGAGCAGCTCGGACCTTCGGCGGCTCGGCTCCACCGGCTTGACAAGCCTGGTTTCCTGTTTTCAGCCCCCGTGTGATCAGAGCCGCCCGCTCGCCGTTAAACGCGAGTATAGTGTTTAAAAACGATCAATCATGGGACTAATCAGTGTCAGCGTCGGTAGAGAAGGGCCGCAGCCTTCATGAAGTCGGTTCCGTGAGCCTGAGTGGCCGCTCGAGTTTAAAACCGGCCACGATTCAGAAAGAAGAGAGAAGTGTTCCACACACACAGGGGAGCAGGGAGACGGCTGGAGTCAAGAAAAAACAAAACAGAGGCTTTAAAGATGTAAATTATGAGAGTTTACAAGCCGAACAAGAAGCTCTTCAGACGCAAAACTGCAGGAAAAGTTCATAAAGCCGCGCGTAAATATGAATTAGCCGCTATTAGCCCGGTGCTGCTGTGTGTTAGGAGAGCGCGTAAAAGCTACGTGCTGCAAGGATGGAGGTAGACAGAGGAGTTCTAGTGGACCTGGGTTGCTTTTTCTTTTTTTCTCTCTTTTTTTAATTTATTATTTTTCTATTTTACGATTATAATCATGAAGCCACAAAGTCCTGTTCAGGCCATAACCCGTCTGCAGCAGCACTTTAAAAATACAGCCCAGAACATAAGCAATAAAATAAAAGCTCTCCCTCTCTCACTCTGTCTCTCTAGTGCACACACACACACACACACACACACACACACACACACACACACACACACACACACACAACAGCACAACACAAGAAATATAGGCTCAAACTAAATAGGCTACTATCCATGCCAATCCATTCCCAGCTCTGTCTGTCTTTCTGCCTCCACGTCGCTCCAACACACAAAAATGCCTTCTTGCATAATCAGTCTTATTGTGGTGTTGCTGTGAGCCATCAATTACAAACCAGGCTTTCCTTTAAAGCAAATAATTGTTTAAAAAAAAAGAAAAAAAGAAAATCACTTTTATTTATTTTCTTAAATTCTCTGATGTGATTTATAATCCAGTTCTGTTTGGAGCCGATATTCAAACACACACTAAAACACAAAAGCAGCTTCACCCTGAGCCACACACACACACACACACAC